ATATAAAGGAGTCTAAATTTGCTTTTGAACAATTTATTTGAATAAGGGTAGACAGATTTAGCCATGAACCCATCAGTGTAATAATGTTGAAATTAAATCCCAGTTTTGTAGAGAAATAGTATAATTACTGAAAGCCACAAAACTGGGTCAACTTAATAGTTTGGTTAGATGACATGCTTTCGTATCTTAGGCAAACTAATCCTGGAACCCCAGCTGCTGGAAACATCTGCTTCAGGGGTGAGGAGGGAAAAAAAGCAGTATGCCATCTTTACTAGCTGAAATACAAAGCTATAGTTTTCTATTTCACGGCACAGATTGTCATAAACCTCAAATACTCCTTTGCGATTTAGTTGTTTCCTAACTTTTTAGGAAAACAAACTTCTAAATCATTTGTTCATTTAAGTAAAATTCAAACAAATAACATTTTTTGAAAGCACTCATTTCACTTCCAACTCCTAACATATTGACTGTATAATTATTATGAAATTATAAACCACCCATTTTTGTCAACAAAATAGTCTGAAAAGGTAAAGAACAGCCTCAAACTGACTTAGATTTCAGAGAAATTCTCTTTTCTGAACAATGAAGAAAGAGTGTTAGAAATCTCAGTAGCATAGGATTTAAGAATAATGTAACAACATGTATTCATTTGCTGATATTCATCACAAGAAGTTCAAAGCAATTGTTGCAGTTAGATAATTGTTACACTCTCAAACAGAAGTAACACAAATATTTTTTTAACATGGAGACACTGCAATCTTATAGGAAAATCTAAGTCAAATTAAGTAACATGTATCACAGAAAACCCATTACTTTAATTTAAAGCATTGAATTACTTCTAGAAGTTGACTAGATTTGTGATGACTACTGAAATTTTTCTAAAAACTAATTAAGTAAAGGAGCACACAGATATGTTTCCAATTCATTTAATAGCACAGCTTCCAAAGGCATTTTCAATTAACAACATTTTCTTTAGATTTACTCAATTTGCTAAAGCTGGGTAAAGCTTTGAAAATAACATTAAATAGGAGACTGGTAAAATTATTTTCCATCTCTTTCATAAGAGATTTCTTTATCTTGCTGAAGAATTATTTTTCCAAAATATCATTGCTAAGAGCATAATGCCTGGAGTTATAGAGAGAATCAAAGTTATATTTTGCAAAAGTTAATGGGAAAAAATAACTGAATGGAGAGATACTGAGGGAGAGAAAAAGAGCAGGGGTGAAATGTATTTACTTTCTTAGTATCATTTCTAAGAAATACTTGAAATCTGTTCTCTAACACAAAGTTTAAAAATGAAATGAAAAGAGGAAAATCAACAAAATGCTGTAAAAATATTCAAGTGGTTATTATTTTCAGAAAAAGTGAACTTAGGGGAGTAGAGAAGTGACCTTGTTGGGTGGGATTTTCTTTGCAATTGTGATAAATTTAGACAAAGCACTTACACACTTTGTGGGGGGGAAAAATGAGTTTCTGATGATCTTATGAAAAGATCTGAATGGCGGCCCAGTGTTGTAGCCTAGTAGCTAAATTCCCTGAGATCCCATATGGGCGCTTGTTCATGTCCCAGCAGCCCCACTTCCCATCCAGCTCCCTGCTTGTGGCCTGGGAAAGCAGTTGAGGATGGCCCCAAACCTTGGGACCCTGTGCCTGTGGAGGAGATTGGAACGGAGCTCCTGGCTTCAGATTTGTTCATTTCTGGCCATTGCAGCCACTTGGGGAGTGAATCAGCAGATGGAAAAATATTCCTCTTTGTCTCTCCTTCTCTCTGTATATCTGATTTTCCAACAAAAATAAATCTTAAAAAAAAGAAATAAAAAAAGAATAGATATGAAAGTAACTGTAGACCTTCATTATTATCCTGTTCTTCCTGCCATTGAAAGAAGCCAAAGCAATGTGAGAAGTCACGCCTTCACAACTAGTGTCAGAATTTCCAAGGAAATCATCCAAACTGAGAAGGCATGATGCTGACTGACACTTCCTCTGCTGGCCCTTCCCAAGGAACTTAATTCTTCCTGTTTTGACATCAGTGTGAAACCAGCACAATTCTCTACCTATCTTCTGTGCACGCTTCTCTCCAAAGATGATGCTACTTTAGTGGGGGGAATAGAAGCAGCCATTCAGCCCACACACCTCACCAACGTAAAAAGCAACTTCACAACGTCCATGCAGTTTCTGAAGAAGACAGCATTGCTGTTAAGACTCATCCTTTCTCTTGCACACTAGAATCAAGGTTCTTTCTTCTTCTACAAGGAATTTGCTCTATCAGATATAACTTATATCTCAGAAGTGATCTTTGGGATATATCCTCAAATTTCACCAATTTTAAAACAAAATAAGTAAGTAATGAAAAATTATCTCAACACACACTAATTATCTTCTTCTGGATGTCAGATTCCATATCTTTTCTAAAAGGTCTCATCATCTTCTTTCATGAATGGCTAACTTTCGCTTATTTACAAATTACTTCTGGAAATCTCACCTTGCCTCCAAGCCTCCACTGCAATCCCCATGTGGGTTTTTGTTTTTTTTTTTGTTTGTTTGTTTTACTGTTATTATTTTTTATGGTCCAATTTGTGGGTATAAGGATTCCTTCCTGCCTCCCCCCTCCTCCCTCACCATTCCCTGCTTCTTCCATTTCTCCCATATTATCACAGTAGTATAGTCCTTTAGTAACAGTTACAAGTTTAACATTCTGCTACTTAAGTGTATCATGACATTGTAGGCATAAGCAAAGGTAAAATATTCAACATAATAGTGTCAAGTTATATTTAAGTGATTCATTCAGAGTCTTCCTTTTATCAAGGAATAGAGATGCAGCCTGCAATGTATCTTTACTTTTCAGTATGCAAGTCTCCACTGCACAGTTCATTGATGAAAATATATGCACACATTTCTTTACCTATACATTTTTTATTTTGCATGAAAGCTGTGTTTCTATAGCCCTGAGCATGCTGTGAAGGCCCCTTGGCGAGAGTGAATCATGGAGAACAGGTACACAGTAATACCCATCGAAGTGAATTGTCTTCCTTAGAATTTCTCAGCTGATGATGTTTCTCACTTCCTGCTTCATTGGCTATAAGACATTTCAATGTTTAAGTCATGATCAGACAAGCAGAAGTTAACTTCCATCAACTACAATTTCTCATCTTTGCAACTGTTTTTTCACATATTTTTATCTACATATTTTTATGAGCTCTAAGAAGTCATGAATCACCATCTCATTTGGGTCACTTATTAGATCGACCATCTCAAAAATTTTTGTCAATAAAACAAAGCAGAAGGCAAAGAGGGAAGAAATTTTGAACACAATGAAGAGGTCATAGTTGGACAAATCTTTGAATACACAGTAAAAATGGGGAAAAAAGCAAAGACTAGTCTAAAATTCCCACTTGATTAAATATAAACGTGGCCATTATCTGTCAAAAATTATCACTGTAGGATATCCATATGTTCATATTTTACAGACTCTCCAACAATACAAGCAGGTACTAATTAATGAATGAAACCTAACTTTTCTGCTTCTATCCAAATTATTGAAATCCACAGTTTTCATTTTGTATCAATTCTCTCCATTTATATCAAGAGGTAGTACTGATTCTCTTAATAAAAAGATAATTTACATTCCTTAGAGGAAAAGAAAAACTACACAAATAACAACACTAGCAGAGTGCATTTATTGTATCCTCACATAGCTAAATCATATATCTTTTAGCCACTCAAAGAGTTAAGCTGAAAAGATGCTGTTATTTTCATTTTACATTTGGGAAAAATGAAGTTCAGAGAGGTTAAGAGGTACAAGTGCCTTGGAGCTGTGAATAAATTGAAGAAGAAGGTGAGGTAAAAAGGAAAAAATATTAGATTTGCTCTTTTGAAAATGCTTCAGTGGGAAAAATTCAATCTTAATCAGCAACAACAAACACTTATTCAGCATTTACCTCATGGAGCCCTGCTCTGTCTTTTCTGTAATGAAAATTTTACCCAAAGAAAGAGTAGGCATTGCCTTACAGCGTCTCAAATGGCAATATCCCGGAGCACACTGGTCTTCAATATATTTACTCCTCAAACATTCTTAAATTCCAAGATAGCATGAAAGATAATTGTTAACTGAAACCTTTTAATCTAGCACTACTAAGTGACATCTGCTTTGCTTCATTTGATTTTGTTTGGTTAAGCAGATGATAGGGAAGGGGGTGTGCATATGTGTGCGCACACGCATGGGCACAGGTGCAGCTCACCTGAAGGCTCTTGCATACAACGTGCTGATGTCATCATGACATTGCCCTGGCTGCTGCAAGTGTATGTTCCTTTATTCTATTCTGCACCGCAAGGATTCCTCCATCCACTTTTGCTTCTTTTGTTTGTTGATTTTTCCTTCTTTGCTATTCTTTTCTGATGTTTAAATGCAGACATTGATTTGTCAATTTTACTGATCTTAGAGCAACATTTTCTGTTCATTTGTGACCTGGGGTGATTTAAGAAATGTCCATGCCAACTGATATTTAAAAGTGAATATTTCATGAAAAATATGGCCAGAGCTAATATGCTGTATTACAACAATAAAAAAAAAATACTTCATTCAAGCTGCATTCAAGTTGTGGTCATATGGAGAATTTTGATGCTTTTCCAGAGGAAAAAAATGTTAATATTTTATATACCAGGAAACAGAGAAGGAATTAAATAAGGGAAAATAGAATTTCATTTTTATAACATCTTTGCTTTGAGTATACAGTCTTGATTATACATGATTTATTGGATAGCAACTATATTTTAGTATCTAATAAGGAAGATCATTTATACAACTTCCAAACATAAATTTTGTCTAAAGAAAAATGGGAACTATTTTCCTCTCATATGCATTGCATTACGATTGGTTTCTAACATGATTTTTGAGGGGAGGCATGGGTGCGAGTGCGGGGATTGACAAAGGTACCCATTTCCTTTCACTGTTCCTTGAGAGGGCTAGCCATTGAGAGGCAAGAGATGTACAACAGACTTACCCACTCTTCTTCATCGTAGTCTGAATGATGTGGTATGGAGTCCTGCCTTTTCACTGGCGGGGGCTGCTCTCGGGGGCTGCTCTCCTCTTTACTTCCCTTAGGAGAGGGTGTCTTCTTCAGAATTCCCCCTGGTCTTGCAGTGTAAAGTGCTAGAAGAGCGCTTCTGACCAGTTGATCCTTGAAGGCATGTACAAAAAGCTCTGTCTAGAAAGAAATGAACAACATAAGAAACATCGTGGTAGGGACCTCAGTCTAGCGCTAACGAAACATTGACTGCAGATTTGTTGCTACATAAGGCACAAAATGTACAGGCACCAAAGAGAAAATGATTCATACTAATCAATGGACAATAGTTTGGCTCTGGATTGCTGCCACGGACTTGAGATTTTCTGTTTTAACGTTAATGCTGAGGATGTAAATGCAGTATAAGGGCATGGCACAACAGCCTAGAAGCTAAAGCCCTCGCTTCGCATGTGCTGGGTGGGATCCCATTTGGACGCTGGTTCCCATCCAGCTCCCTGCTTATGGCCTAGGAATGCAGTCAAAGATGGCCCAAAGCCTTGAGACCCTGCAAAAATGTGGAAGACCAGGAAAGAAGATCCTGGTTCCTGGCTTTGGATGGTCACAACTCCAGCAGTTGCAGCCACTTGGGGAGTGAATGATCAGACGGAAACTCTTCCTGTCTGTATATCTTACTTTGCAAGGAAAATTTAAAAAATAATAAAGGCAGTATAAATACCATCTGCTTTCTCAATCTTCTCTCTTTTCATTCCAAATCCTGTCTTTGGAGATGAATTTCCCTTGGTATGTTCGTGTGAACAATACCTAGCTGCTTCACCTTTTAAGTAAATCCAAACACACTTTAAAAGAAAATTTGATCAGTCTAAGTACATTTTATATTTTAAACAAGGTGAAGGCTACAGAAAAATAAAGATTTCAAACAATAGTCTGGACAACTCTTTTTGCATGATGGGCAGATCTCAATAGTATAAAGAGGAAGTCTCATCGGAAAAACACTTGGCTCCTACTCCTTGTCACCCTTGAAGTGGTTTCCTCCTCATTCATGTTCAGTGATAGCAAGGTTCTTGGGAAACTTTACATGGCACATTACAAGCTTGGGGTAAATACTTAGTAAGGACTGCAGTAATGGTGGATTCCCAAATAGAAAGGACATTACTGCTGTGGTTTGTGACTTCCTGATGAAATACTTAATAGCTTCACTCTGTTCCAGACTGGAGACTATGGTCATTTATTTTCTGTACTGTAGTACATTTAACATGTGTGTGGCCAAACAACATAGTCAAAGTAGAGAAACAGGTCAAGTACAGACTTATTTTGTTATAATTCACTAGGAATGGGTCATTTAAGACAGTGTTATTCTGAATAATAATTGATACCAAAATCAAATGCAAGGTTAATGTTACTCTTGCTGTAACACAATGAAGTTGCTACTGGGTGTACTCGCAAGGTGCTTGTTATCAGTGTCATATTTAACCACTGGTTAACAAATTATGCCTTAAATCTTCATGTGACTGTCAATAATAATAAAAAAATCAGTTAGAACTTGTGCAAAATAAATCTCTACTAAAATTGCATAGTTGCTATTTGAAATATTAGAAAATTCCATAGCTATGAAGCACCTTCAAGTTAAACTTTTGCTAACCAAATTAGAAAAAACAACAACAAAAAAAATTGTACTGAGATGCTACAGGGGGTTCCTTTTTGTAGGCACAGATGGAATAGGTCCATTTTCCAACAAAATCATTAGATATTTCCCCACTGATAATATCCACCATCAACCTGAAAGGCCCTGTCCTTTTTCCCCTTCTTGCTAAGTGTAAGGTTTCTTGCTATGAACAGTTCTCATTGATAAGTGTAGATAAAATTATCCCTGTAACTACCTCTGCCATAAGGCCTTATTAGAACATTCAAATATCCTGTTAGCATACTAGTCCCATCATGTCACTTCAATTTTTAAAATCCATTTTGAAGGTAAGGAAGCAAGAAATACAGAAAACAAAATATGAAAATAAAAGAGCATAAAATATTTTGGAATATATTAGACAAACAAAATTAAACTTTATGGTGGAAAGTGTCCAAGGAAAAACTCTTCTTTAATTTTTCCAGTGAATTGCTAATACAAGAATGGAAGATATAAAAGAATACAGACAGAAAAAATGGAAAGACAATATCCAAAAAATTCTGTCAATGTAGTCACATTAAAACTGAGAAACATGTTGCTTATACAATTTAATGTAGCATGGATGTGTCCACAATGTGATTTTAAATCTTAAAAAAATGTGAATTTACTCCTGTTTAGATTAACCAATGTATTTCTCTGTTGACACTGCAATATTTTTTTTTATTTATTTCAAGACAAAAGAGCTTGTGTTTGAATTTCTGCTACTATAGCACCAGTCCCCACAATATTCACATAATTACTATGTAGCTAAATATCTATTCACACCCAGTGAAATCTTCTAAAGTACTTGTAATAGCCATCATTTTCTTCTCATGTCATGCACATGCAAAAGTTTCATTTTGGTTATTTAAATCTCATTTGAATTGATTTAACACCAAATGCAAGAAAGATAATGCATTAGATTATCACCCAGAAAATTCTTTGGATAGCTAAAAATGAGGTGCAAACTTTCTTTGTATTCAATGTATCTATTTATGAGAGGAATTATGGGAGGGAGGGAAATGGAAGGGGAGAGGGAGAGACAAAGAAAGAGAGAGACAACGTAAACCAGGTCTCTCCACTGGTGGCGAGAACCCAATTCTTTAAGTAGTCACTGCTTCCTGCAACAGTCAGCATTAATGAAAAGCTGGAGCTGGGAGCCAGAGGTGGCTATCAAACATAAGAACTGTGATTTGGGATGTAGGTACCTTAGCCACTAGGTGAAACCCTCACACCACAAAAGTCTTAAATGCTATAATAGCTAATCTTTGTATCTATGTGGGCAAATGTATCTGACCTCTTGACTGTTCTCAGGATCACAAGGAATTTATCCATAAAATCACATTTTAAAAATCTAAGCATTTCATTGCAATATCCATGTGACCTGAGCAAACATTTGTTTTCTTGACCTGCATAAATTTCTATGTGTAAACCAAAGAACATCTTGGGTATTTTACAATCAAAATAAAATCAAACTTTTTTAGGCATCTAGACTATTGATTCAGATAGCTACATCCAATGCCAGTGTGCTTGGTTCAATCCCTGGTTCCAGCTCCTGACTCAAGCTTATGGCTAAGGCAGATACTGCAGAGCAGTGGTGATGAATCATGAGTTCTGGCCACCCACATAGAAGACCTAGATTGAGACTCCAGTTACCAACTTCAGGCCCCATCCAGTCTGGGCATATGGGGAAAGTACCAACCCATGTGATCTCTCTTTCTCTCTCTCTCTCTCCCTCTTTTAAACATCTTTAAAATATAAATCAAGCTTGAGGTGATGAATGCAGTCCTTTAACTCCAATGTATTTGTATATCACCATTCCTTCAGCTGAGACGAGGCCAGTAAGTCATAAAGAGGATATGCCTGTGTCTCTGTGTTTCCTACTCAGTATTCTAAAGATTTCTTTTCTTGGAAGCACCCTTAATGAAAATGACAGGCCGTCTAAATGTTAAATATATATACAAAACAATTCATTTAAAATTAAAGCGATAAAAGAATAACTCTATATTCAGAGGCAGAATTCTTTGATTTGTTTCAAATTTGAAATAAACAAAACACACACAATATAAAGAAAGACTATCTTAAATATGAAATATTTCCTAGATTTCTTGATGGCTTTCCAATTCCTTTTCTCATACAACTATTTTAGGAAACACACAAAACTATCCAACAAAAATGAAAATTATTAAAAATTACGTCTCTTTTGATTGATTGCAGATAATCCACTAGTTTCCTGAATTTTGATGGCAGAATACACAGAATAGGTTCATATTAAACCACTATTATTTTTACTAGAAATCTCAACTAAGAAAGCCAAGGCATTTTCTATTTAGAATCTCATTTTCTGTGAAAATAATTTAAACCAATGCCTATCTTCAATACAGGAGAACCCAATAACATAAAGAAATGATTATTAGTTTGGTAATCATCTATATGCAAAGAGAATCAAGTTTATATTGATATTGTATATGCTTTAATTTTTTATATAAAAATATTGCTCTGCTTTGCCATTAGTGCACTGATGTGTTTTCAACATGCCTAAAAGTACAATAGGGCTAACAGAAAGTTACCTGACTTACACATATTATCCACTTAGCCTTAGATTAATTACACCATTACATTTTGCAGTTTGTACAAAACTACAATACTTATCTGTTTGTGAAACTTTCATAGGAATTCATATTTACGCTCATCTTTCCTGACTTATTTTTTGAAGTTTCCTTTTTGACTTGTCACCTGCTCACTGACAATGTGGTAACTGAATCCAATTTACTTTAAATTATCTTATCAAGAGCCTTTTTTCATTGACAATGCAACCCATGCCTTCAGATTACACTGTTATCTTTACAGTCTGGTTGTTAAAATCCACCTCTAACAACTTTCTGTACCAGGTTTATTAACATTTTCCACTGTGAGTCCTTCTAGTTAAGAGGCACTCACCTGAACTCATTTTTACAATATATGAATTCTTAAATCAGGGAAATATGACTTTCCAGCAACTCAAAGATCAAATTTATGGATCAAATTCAGTAGTGTCTAACTGATGATTAGACATCAACTAACTGCATGCATGTACATTAATTCCAAGGATTGATCCTTGCATTATATTGCCATGCAAGTCCCCCTAAAGATCTTTTTCTGCATCCCAGTGGATACTCTCCACAGTATCGTTACTATTTCATTTAAGCTAATATTTGTTTCAAGATGTCATTATAAGGCTATCAAAAGGAGGCTAACCTTGTGGCATACAGCGTTAAGCTGCACCCTGGATGAGTAGATCCTAAATGCTATATCACTTATCCAGCTATGATCTCTGCTCATGCGTCATGAGTGACAGCAGAGGTTGGCCTCTGACACAGGAGGGACACAAGAACGAAGAGTGCTGAGCTCTTGTCCTCATCTTGGTTCGCCCTTTGCCATAATGATCTTTGGAGGAGTGAACCAACAGGTAGATCCCTCTCTGTCAATCTCTCTCAGTGTCACTCTGCCTTTTAAATAAAAAAAAGGTTATAAAAAGAACATA